TCCTTCTGCCGACCTGCGGTGCTGCCGCCGCTGCTGGTGGGGGTCAGCGGGCCGCCAAGGGCTCTCCCTGTGGGCAGGAGGTGCGTCTTCGCCCTGCGCCTGGTGGCTCTGCGCTAAGGACCGGAGCCAGCCCGGAGTGAGTGGCTGACCTGGTACAGAGAGATGCCCCCTGTTGTCTTCTGGGCCATATCAATGGGCGAAAAAATGACATGTTTTAAGTAGCGCAAGCAAACGTTTGGGTGAACCGTGTAGTTCACAGGGAAGATACCCTCTGGATTCTTGCCAGGCTCATGGGTTTGAAAGAAAAGGTTTGAAAAGAGCTGAATGTCAGGTGAGGAAATCTCAGGTTCATGGCATAAAAGAAGCATTAGAAAAGTCTCTAGCCTTGACCTTGATTACCATGTGCTTCAAAATTCAGTTGAGGAGCTTGTGTAATTGTCTCACATCTGGCTGTTAAACAGCTTACTGTTAACTTGGAAAAATTAATGTGTCATCTCAAAAAAGAACATGTGCAAGTGTGTAGTGCACCAAATACAGAAAACCTGTGAGGTCCAGTACTGCCATTTATTTTACTTTTCATTCATTGCCACATAGTGAATGAGCATGGTGCATATTCCTCCTGCATGTGCATTTAAAATGTATTATTTTATAAGATCTCCCTTCATAATATGTACAACTAATAGCTTTGATTTCTGAGTGGAGGCTAGGTGGAAAACTAGTTACACATTAGAAAACCTTTTGCCAGAGAAGTTGCAAAAGCAAATGTACAAAGAGAGGGAAGATAAAATTGAGTATTGATTAACTGTCCTGAAGCAAGAGATACTGTGGTTTCACAGTAGTCTGTACTGCTGCTATACTAAGAGGGCCTGCCTTGTCTCACGTCAAAAAAAATGGCTTTTAATTGGAATAAATTTCCTGATCTGGCTTGCTCCTTGGCTGCCGGTGGATGTGGCAGTAGAGAGGAGGATCAGATGAAATGGAGGAGAACGGGGCTGCCTATAGCAGCAGTTCTGGTTTATGCTGGCTTCAAGTGATTGTGAAAATGCAGCATGGTGTAGTAGCAGGTGTGACCTGTTGACAAAAGCTTGTTTCAATAATGTTTTGACTTCAGCAAAGTAGAACATGTCGAAATAGACAGAACATGAAAATCAACATGAAGTTTCATTGTTCATGAACACATACACTGGTGTAGTCTGCTGACGTTCATGTAGAAATTTATTAAGGAGCCTTACTAAGTAGACAGTTTTTAAAGACTTTCTCTTTGTGTTGCCTATACTATAGCAGTTTTGAAAAGGCAGGTTTTGCTGCTGTCATTTCAGGGGTATAGATTTTTATTGAGAAATAGAATCTACATATAAGGCTATATTGGACAAATAAAGATTTAAAGTTGTGAGTGGAAGCAAACTTGCTTTGTTTTTTGTATTACTACTGTTTATATGTGTATGACCCTTTAAGAGCATTTACTTTAAAAGAAGAGTGAGCAGGTTAGGTTTTAAATCAGGTGTCTCTAGACTCCCAGGCAGGCATCAAGTTATATTATGATTGGAGCAGTAAACAAAAGAGATGGACAAAAGTGCAACTGTCTTTTTGTAACTGTCTGTAATTTTTTTCCCCCAGGAAAGAAACCCCATCTCCTTCCTTGGTGAAAGACAGAGCAGACACACTGATCATTGGAGGTGGTTGCGTTGGTGTGAGTCTAGCCTATCACTTGGCTAAGGCTGGCTTGAAAGATGTTGTTCTGCTAGAAAAATCTGAGCTCACTGCAGGATCTACCTGGCATGCAGTAAGAAATGTTTTGTTTATCTCTCAGATTAACACTATTTTGTGTATCTAATGGTGGTGGAAGTTTCATTACCTTTATATTCCCTGGTTTTCCAGAGATTAACTGTCTTGGTTATTTTATAGATACAAACTTTAGCATTGAGTTCTTTATAGATTGGCTGCATGAGTTTTGAAAAGTTGGTTCGATTGGTTCATAGTACACTTTTCTCATTTGTAAAAATTGGGACAAATACTGTATTTTGAAATTACTGGAAAGTAACTGTTAGTATTATCATACATTTTTGGCAGTTAACTGGATTTAGACTTTAAACTTTATTTTAACTTGAACTTCTTAAAGTTTTATTTCTAAATTAATCGAATTTATCACTAGAAGTGGTTGCACTGGCATGCATAAATCAGAAATGTGAAATTTGGCATCATTTTATATGTAATTTTTTTTATATATGTGTCATTCTGAAAAAGAGGTGATCAAGAAGAAGCATCAGTGTGCAGTTCTCACAGAATATCACTGTCCCCAAAACTGATTCTCAATTAGAGAGAAGAGCTTTTTTTCCTGCCACTGCTGACATTACACAAAATCTTGGAGGAGCAGAGCTAACAACTGTTTGCTGTGGGGGTTTTTTAAGGCTGAATGTTTGTCTGTACTCTAAGGAAAAGAACTAAAAAGACAAACATGTAATAATGGCAGGAGGGGGACACCTCCTATAATAATGCTAATCACATGGACATATATGGAAGTACATGGACGTACAACATGCATGTATGTAATTACATATTTTCTATGTCAGTGTCTGGAGTAGGTAGTGTAATGAAATGAAATAGAGCTTGCCACAATAGTAGATGCTTTTTCCATTCATTTCCAGCTATGCTTAGCTGAAATTGGGAGAATGTTATCCCTGTATGTAGCAATACAAAAGAGTAAAAACCCAACAGTTTGCTGTCTCTAGAACTGCTCTGTTAATAGAATAGAGCACTTATGCAATACTTAAAATTATAGTATCTGAGTGGCTTTCAGGAACAAATTAAGGAGGATGACTCGGATTATATTTGATTTGTATTCTCATACTTCTCCCAGGCAAGGAAGTCTGAAGTTTGAAATGCTTCATCTTAGTGCAGATGTTTTGTGTGTTTAGGGCCTTGTGAGAGAACAATAGTAAAAAAAGAAATTTAAAAAATCACTGCCTGAAAGGTATAAGGAAGTTTATACTTCATTTTACTTGCTTTTCAACAAGCAAAGCAAAAGAAAACACATTGTTTGGAGTTAGGAAAAACAAAGTTCAGTAATTATGTCTCCTTTAGACAGAGTCATACCACAGCTGATGCAGTTCAGTGAACAGAGCAACAACGTGCATAGTCTCAGATCACGCATCTTGTGTGTTGAATCATAACAATGAAATGCTTGAAGAAATACTTTGACTTAATAGATGAGTGAGGTACAGACCGAATTCTATTTATTCAATGCATGTACAGAACAGTATGTGTGTAAAAATTAATAAAAATCCCTGCATTGAATAAGAAGCCAAAAACATGAATAGAAAGTTGTTACTAAATGTCTCTTTTGTTCTTATTGTTATATTTGCTCACTCTAGCTTATTGCTCATAACTATGTAAAAGCAACTTCTCCTTCAGTATTTTTGCTTCCCCTTCTTAGTGGATGCAGCAATGGAGCACTGAGTGAGGAACTCTATTTCAAAGGTAGGGAGGGACTTGGAGCACAGCAGAGAGAATACCTGCACTACCACTATTGAGAGGGCTGCATTGTGGCACCTGTTGCCACAGAATTTGATGCAATTAACAAAGCAAGACACCTAGTTATGGGACAGGTTAAAATGGATAAATATTAGGTAGACTGCATGTTATAGTGTCTCTTTTCATTGAACTCAGTATTAGCGTGCTGTGTTTGAAGATTAAAAAGTTGATGGTAAGTCTGTTTCAGATGATGAGAAAGATCAAAACTATGACTGTGAGTTCTTTCTTACACTACCTACTGTGCATTTTTCAGTAGTCTCCTCACAGTGATACAGTACTAGATACATATGAAAATTACACATATAGTTGGCACGTGAAATGGCACGTAGTATATTGCCTGCAGCCACAAATGTTGGGAGTCTGGTTCAGATGTTGCTGTACTAGACCACGTTTTCCCCCTTTCACAGTCCAGTAAGTCCTGCCAGAGCTCAGGATCATGTTTCGTGAAG